TTAATTTAAATTTAAAAATAATAAATTTTTAATGATTGTGTTGTTAGGTGAATTAAATAAAAAAATGTACCAATTATTGTCTAAACTGATATTTGTCATAAACTAGTATTTAGCATAGTCATAATCTGGTATTTGTCATAGTGGCATAAGCTAGTATTAATGTACATACAACTAACAATATTCACAATTAAAGACACATGATAATGATCAACAAGAAGAAATTATTGAATACTTCCTCTTCACCAAAAGATATTTTTGAATTTTCCTTTTTCAAATTAAGGATTTGAAGATAATTTATGTATTTATCTATATTAAATTTAAAAAGGAAATAGGTAGATTTTTTGTGATAGAATAAATAATTAAAGTAAATGGATAATAATACGGTTAAAATAAAGAAAAAAATATTTGTCTCTCTTAAAATATGGGTAATTAGTTTGGAACAAATTCATAATAGAAAAAAAAAACAATTATTTTATAATGAATGGAGTAGTTATTTAGATATTATTTAAGATTCTTATGCAAGTTATTATTTTTACTCGAATGTTGTTATTATTAGTTTTCCTAATTTTATTAGGATTAGGTCTTTTATTAAAAGTCTTATAAGTTTTACTTAGTAAAAGACTTAACGGTTAATATATAAAATATATCCTTGTAACTTATTTTATTAGTAGTAAATCAAACATTCAAAAATTTGTAACATGAGTTTTTTTTTTTTTTTTGAAATTATGTAATGCAATTTTGTTGTGTGAATTTTTTTTTTGGTACATCAGTAACAAAAGCTAAAACAACTTAACAAAAATAACTAAGGACGGAGGAAGCTGGCCCCCAACTGATCCCCTGCAAGGATGTGCCGCAACCCAACTGGTGGTGTGTTTAGAATACTGAAACCTGGCTGTGAATTGTGTCCCAGGGAAGCAAGATAGTCTGCAGCAGCATTCCCTTCATGTAGAGTATGCTGCAAAATACAATCCTGAAATTCCGGCATCAGATTTTTTATGTCCAATACTATGGCAGCAGATGGATTGTCTGGCTCCCCATTATTATTAATCAAATGAACTACCATAAGTGAGTCCAATTCCACAACCACTCGGGTCAGACCCAAAGCTTTGCAAAGTCAAAAACCTTTTCTAAGTCCCCACAACTCAGCTATGAACACTGAAGCTGTTAAGAAAAAAAAGAAATGGTAGAAGAATAAAAGAATTGTTCTGAAGTGTAATCTCATTTTTCTTAAGGATTTAAATCCTTCAGGATACAACAAAACTCAAAATTCTCTCAGAATTGGATGTAGAACTCTGACATTGCATACGGATTTATAATACCTGAAAAGTTACTATTTAAAGGGATGTATTTCTCTAAAAAACACCATTTTATAGAGGTACATTTTGACTGCCAATTGTCATGTCTGATTTTTAGACATGCCTTTCCAAATTATAATTTAATAAAATAAAATAAAAAATCCAAAAATAATAAAAAATTAAAGATGTTATGGCAGTCATGCCCCAAGTGCCTATCTTTTAACTATATATAAAGGGTCAAAGTCTAATTTTCCTTGAGTTTTACTTTACTTAAATCTTTGTTGATAAAGGACAAGCATTTATGAACTCCTTTATGTTCTCATACTTTTTTGATGTGGGATCTCAAACATTTACAAATTATTCAACAGAAGCACGACCAATATTGACCCTAAAACCCATGAGCCAACTCCCCAAACTGTTTCTTATCAAACCCCCAACACTGGCAGAATTACTCTCTTGAGCGAAGGATCCATCTGTATTCAATTTAAACCAGCCATCATCAGGTGGTTTCCAACTCACCCAACGTGGCTGGGAATACCGCACAGGGAGTAAGGGGGTCATTGCCAATTTGGTGTACTTTGCATGATGAAAAATCTGAGAACATAAATCCTGGGGCCTCACCTGCTTATTTCGAAAAACCAGTGCATTCCTGTCTTTCCAGATGAGCTAGACAGTAAAGAGAAACAATTCTGGACTAGAGACCCTTGAGTGAGAGATCCGTTGAGGTGCCATTGAAAATTTCTTGAGCCACTAGAAAAAAGTAAGAGTAAAAAACTCTGAGCTAACAAAGCTCAACAGGCCCTAAGTGATTTTGGTATAATAACAGTCTCTGAGCAGGTGAATAGGGGTTTCATCAAAAGATTCACATCTTGGACAGATAGAAGATAAAGCTATATGCCGCGCAAATCTTACGGAGTTTGTACGGACTCTCCTTCTCACTAAAAGCCATACAAACACCCTTATCCTTTCAGCACAGGGAAGCTTCCAAATCCAATTCCATGGCTCAAAAGGCTGATTTAGCAAATGACGTTGGCCCTGGATGAGATGTTATGCTGATTTAACTGAAAAAGACCCATCCATTGATCCAATCCAAAAAATGCTATTGGGCAGTTGCGCAGTCCTGGACAAAGGAATCGCTGGAATTGCATCTACTGACTCGTTAGGGACTAAACAATGCAAAGAATATAATCTAAATCCCATTCTCTTTCTGGTGTGATCACGTCAGCCACTGTTAGTGAGAGGGAACCCGGTAAGTTCTCATCGGAGCAATCAAGAAGAAGCGAGGGGTTACCAGCCCATGTGCGCTTCTAGAAATTTACCCTTTCTCCAGAACCTATTCTCCAACGAAGTCCCAACTGTAGGACGGGACAACATTGCAAAATTCCACGCCATATAAAGGATGTACTGGGAGTGGCTTTAGATTCTAGTAAACTCTGACCTCGGAGATACTTAGTTTGCATCACTTCACACCACAAAGCTGAATCACCGTTTAGAATTCGCCAGGCAAGCTTAGCCACAAAAGCTTTATTATTGTCCGAAGCTGATCTCAAACCGAGACCACATATTTCTTCTCTGTACAAGCTATCTCCCAACTAACTAAGTGTGGTTTTCTAGCACCTGATTCTGATCCCCACAAAAAATCCCTATTCAACCGATCAATTCATCACAGGTAAATTTTGTTGTGTGATACTAGAGTTTTTTTCCCCCTTAGGTATGATGCCTAAAAATACTTGTTTAACTCTTACAATTTTTCTCTTTTATTGTTTATGCTCATTGTTCATAGCCTAGGTTTAGAAGAGAGGGGAAAACAGAAAAATACAACAAGATAGAAAAATCCTAGGAGTCATATTTAGATTTCTTTAGGCATCACACCTAAAAAGAAATATAAACCTTTAAGCACCACACCTAAGGTTGGTTGCGTCACACAACTAAAATTGCACTACTCAATATCAAGAGAGAACTCTTGCTACAAATTTTTGAATATTAGATTAACTACTAATAAAAGAAGTTACAAGCATATTTATATACAAACTACTAACATTCCTACTAAAAATTTATTCTAATTGTTGACGTGCCAAGGTGAATGAAGTCACCTTCTATCTAAATAAGATGGGATAGATCACCTAAGTTTAGGTAGAAATTGATTATGATCGAAGGGTTGCTAAGGCATGAGGAAGGTATTAAGCACCCACAGCTTCCGCATGCAGGGACTAAGCCAGGGGGTGCAAGGGGGGTGCTTGCCCCCCCTAGACTTTTGTAAAAAAATTAAATAAGTCCTATAGTTTTTTAAAAAATCAAACAAACCCTTTTTGAAAAAAATAAAATGGAGTGTTTTAACTTTTATTCTTTTATAGATCTTACGATGAATTACTAATAGCTTGACAAGTAAAATAAATTTAATAAAATTTATTTATTTATTTGACAGATTTGTCATTCTAATATATGCATAGTTAATGATTATTTGTATTAAGCAATAAAATAAAATTAACTTAAAATTAATATTATTAATTCTTTAGACCATTTAATTTTACTATCTAAATAATATTGAGTAATATTTTGTGATAGAAGTTGTGTTTCAAATTAAAATTTAAATACACAAATTTTAGAAAGTTTTCTATATTTAAGATATTTAAATTTTTAATTTTTATAGATTTAAATCTTAATCTTATTTATAAATTACAAGTCAAGGAATTCACTTTTAGCATATAAATTTTAAATAGCACTTCGCTCCCCTAAGATTATTTTCCGGCTCTGTCTCTATTCGTATAAATACAATTACCACATATTTAAATTTTGAGGCAATTCAATTATTAGACAAAAACAGATTCAATAAAAGAAGGGGAAAAAAAAGTTAATTAACAAAGAGCAAATAAATATATATATCCAAATTTTTTAAAACCATTGACAACTTTCACTTATTAAAATTGAGGTCTCCTTCATGCATTATAATCAAAATACTAAAGACACTTAACAAATGAGATACTGGACGTGGACAATATTTCTTGCTGTTAGAAAAACATAAAGTTCCATATCTTAATTTAATTCCAGTTGATGAATGCCTAATCTGCGACTTATCAATTGATAGGCACTTCAATCCGATTAACTAAACAAACTATTGTGCACCCTTTTATTTCTCTTTTCTTAACCGGATTCCAAGATCATCGAAACAGCAATAATAATAAATAACAACAAACAGCGCACTTTCCGAACAAAACAGACTTATTAATTCCCAAAGTTCCTCATGTTAACTAAATTTCAGCATTCCTATTCAACATTAAAACACATAATTCATAATCAGGGAATCATCAAATCACAACGACAATTCAAAAATTGATTTATAGCCAAGACAGAACATGAATATCACCCAAAAAAATAAAATAAAATCCTTAACAGCAACTCTGACATTTAGCTTAAAGAAGAGGAAAAAAAAAACTTGAGTCATATGGGAATAACAATTTCAAACTATTTATCACGCACACAAAATGATAAACAACAATTGAGGAGTACGTACACCTATAACAAGAGGCTTATTTCTTCAAAGTTCCAAATACAAAGTTATTGTAGCTTCCCCTTGTTTTCCATACAACTATCCATTTTTCTCTCAATTTTCTAAAAAATTTTGTGAAAAATTTTCTCCGTCCCCTCTCTGCCCCCAAGACCCCCTTTATATACACGAAGAATCTAGAACTCAGACCCTTCATGCTAATTCTAAACAAAATCCCAAATCCCTAAGTTACAAATAATAATCTAATCCTACTTGAAATTGGAATTCTGAAAACTTGGTTCTCCATGCATCCTCCTTTAAAAACTAGATTCATATCGCTCCTAAGTTTGAATCAATTTCAAAATCTTCTCCGCTTGCAACCCGCAATTCTTGAGCATCACTTCAAATTCGGAAATTTGATGCCATGATCTATTAGTAGATTTAGGGATAAGCCAAAAAGAATTTATGAGTTTTTGGAGAAATGATGGCAACAGAGCAAAAGAAAGAAAAAGGGTCCGTGAGTTTTGAAGGCTAGGGTTCGATTGAACCTTGGCGTTTATTATTATATTTTTGAACAGCAAATAATGATATTTATTGATAAACAGAGTACAAGGGGTACCCCAAACCCTTAAACATCAATAGTTAAGAGACATAAATGTACAAGAGTGGACTAACCCTGCCCAATAGTGTCGACACCCACATAGAGTGTCGACACTATACCCGTGTTGAATTTATGTCCTCCTTTACAGTTTCTACATAACTCCCTGTTCTGATTATAAAGAAACTTCCACTTTTCACATCCACTGACATGCAATATCATTGAGCATGTATTTACTACAGCTTAACTAACATGCTACAGTAAAATACTTGCTAAGTGAAGCCTTCATGCACCAAACAAATTTCAACTTGCACTCCGTTCTGCAGTTTAGCCTTCTTTTTGTTGTTTATAAAACAATTTCATTGCTTGTTTGTGGCTTCTCATTGACAGAGCACACGCTACAGGGTTAACCTTCCACTCATTAAATGAAAAGGCACAACCATTTACCTTATTCTTGATCCATAAAAATGATTTGGCTTGAATCATACACTACTGCAGGAATGTAATATTCAGACCGACCAATCGGTCCGTATATATCCCAAATCGGTCTGAACATATATATCCGGACCGATATTGGTCCTTATAGTTGATCTGAAAAAACCTGGTACGAAT